TACCAATAATCACAATCATAGCTTTTGCCCCCCTCCAAAAAAATATTTTACTGCCCTTTGAGAGATCTTTCCAATATTTCAATTCCTTCTTTTTGTTTTGGTCCCCACTACCCCATACATGATTAAGTTAAATAATCTTAAGATGGGACTCCCCCACTACAATTTATTCCATTCAAGATGTGCATGCACCCTAATTATTGCATGTTTTGACCCATGTTAATTATGTATTGCATGATTTATTTATGGAGTACTTATTTTTCATATTCCATTTAATTTGAGTCTCTAATTATACTAGTATGTGTTTTTTATACTCCCTCTGTCCTCCTAAGATCTTTTCGTTTTGATTTTTTGCGGTTTTTAAGGAGAGTTAAAAAAAGGTGAAAGTTTACCAAAATTCCCTTAATAAAAATGGGTAGGATGTATTCAATAAGGTGGAAAAAGTGTAATAAATAAAGTAAGTGGAGGTAGTTATGGTATTTTAAATGTTAAAAAATGTAATGAGAAGATCTATGTGGGACAAATAAAAAGGGCTAATGGGAAGATTTATAGGGGACGGAGGAAGTAGTTCTTACGTGTAATAAAGAAATTTCATTTTAAACAATGTATAAAATCTCTTTTTTTTTTAAATTACTCTATAATTGGTTCTCTAAGGATTAAATGTCAAAAAAGTATTTTGTCTTTTTTTGCCCAAAGGATTATTTATGGAATATTTGTCAAAAATTGAGAAAGTTTTTTGTAATGTCCTACAATTGAAGACTAAATATGAAAAAGTATTTTTAAATAGAGACTATTTATGAAATTTATTAATATAATTTTCTTTTAAATTAATGAGAAATTCTTTAACTTTGTATAAATATATACCCCTAGGTCCCAAATTTATTAGTATTCCATTACAATGTACTAATATTTATTGAACATACTTTTACGCCTCTTGAAGTGCATAGAATTCGAATCCAAGTGAACTTTCCGACTAAAGACTTTAGGGTTGATACTCCCTAGTCCCACCCTCGGGCAAATCTTAGAGCATTGGCAGCTGCAAGGCAAAGCCTTTCCATGCTTTGCCACATCAGTCGCCACCCTTGTTTGCAAGTCATTCTTAAGGTGTGTCACTCCTGTTAGTAAAATGAAGTGATATATAAAAGTAAAGTGTTTCAAATACTCCTCGCTTCCCAAAATGTTTTACAGTTTACACAAAATGAAATGAAATTTTAAAATTTTAAAATTCTCTTTATTTAAAGATTGGTATGGAAATTTAAAAAAAACTTATTTTATTTAGAAAATACTATAAAAATTCTAAAAATCAAGATACGTCGAGAATATTTTATTTTATAAAATAATTAATATATTAATACTTCTTCCGTCCCATGAAATTCTTTTTGGATAGAGAGAGTTTCGCATTTATTTTAAGTTATAATATATTAATACTTCTTCAATCCCATAAAAATTTTCAAACATGAAAAAAGGTGCACCCTAGCTAAAATATGTAATTTTGATGTTATTTTCTAATTTTTTCTTTACTTTATAATAAGATTAGATATGATGTGTAAGACAGATAAATAATAACTTGAAAATAATATATGTTGGCCATGTGTGCAAGAATTGTCCTGTGGCGGAGGCTATGTGAGCTAAGTCACAACTGAATGTCATGGCGCTTGTGTGTGCTGAATGCATTATAAGGCTATGGTATATGCCTCTTCTAACATTAAGTGGTTTTTGAAGAGTTGGTAGCATCCAAGATCGTACAAGTGACATCAGAGCCAAGGTCACGAGTTTGATTCCCATCGGGAGCAATTGTCGAGGGAGAGATTGTTGGTCATGTGTGCATCATATATCCCGTGGCGGAGACTGTGTGGGCCAAGTCTCAATTGGATGTTGTAGGCGCATGTGTGTGCTGAATTCACTATAAGGCTAGGATATGCGCAAATTCTAACACCGATTGGAACGTTTTAGAAGATTTTGGGAACGCCTGAGGTCCTACGATATCAAAATTATCTTTTTTTATGGCGCACCATTTCTCATCGAGATAGATGAAGTATTATATTTCTTTATTTTTTTTATTTAATTGAATACTTGTTTGATGGAGTATAAAACTTACTTTTTAATATCATTTTAAATTATACTTAAAAAAATCAGGAGTGTTCCCCCCAAAGCCCGCCATATGCTTTATTCTAAGAAATAAGCTAGGAGTACACCAACATGGGGTATCCCAAGTGTACACCAAGCCAACACAGATACACACAGACATAAAGTGTCTGTGTTGCACAGACATTTTGTGTCTGTGTGTGTCTGTGTTGGCTTTGGTGTACACTTGGGGTACCCCATGTTGGTGTACCTTAGCATTGCCCTTATTCTAAATGTGCCCCGTCATATATATTTCAAGATTGATCACTAGTCCGATTTAATTTGTATGTAGTTATATTTAAAATTGTTTATGATCTGAAGTGATTCTAATAAAAAATAATACTCCCTCCGTCCCGTGAAACATTTCCCCTTTCTTTTTTTATCCGTCCCACAAAACACTTCTCATTTCTATTAAAAAGTCACTTTTACCCCTTACATTTTCATACCCTAACTATCACATCATACCTTTTTACTAATAATCTATACATCAAATCATACTTTTACCCATCACATCAAAGAACATTTTTAGAAATTCAATACTAAAATACACTCTCTTAAATCCCTCCTAAAAAGCAAATGTCTTATGTTTCACGGGACGGAGGGAGTAAGTAATAAGAATAAGTTGAAGAAAACAAGATCTAAGTCTGAACTCATTAAACATTATTGAGTATTATTTAATTTTTAAGTTGCCTCAATTTTTTAAGGTTTGACTTTTAAAACATTTTTTAAATTGCTATACTTAATACTAAGTGTACACCACTTCCTCATCCCCACACATTAATAAATGTAAATAAAAAATAGAGAATAGATAAATATTGAATGGCTAGGATGGATAGTGTATAAATGGGGTACACTAGCTATTTGGTGTACCTCTAGCATCGTAACACAAAATTTCACATAAGAAATATGGAATATTATTCCCCCCCCCCACAAAAGGATCACTTTTTAAAAAAAAATTAAATAATCTTTTGGGTTTTTCCTCTTATAAAAAGAATATACTCAGTAATATGTAAAGAAATCACCAAATGTGTAAAATATACTTGGAGTAATATTTATCCTCAAAATAAGAGGTTTAATATATATTTTAATTGAAATTCCTACTATGACAATATAGTACTGTATCAGTAGTACTATATATATTAGTTGGGGCAATGCATTTCCCCCTACTAATTTTTTTTGTAGCAAGGATTTTTTTTGTTTCTATATGTGTATGCCCCAACTAAATTTAGGGTGACCTCATCTAACTAGATTAATTTTTACCATTTTGTTTATTTTTAAAAAGTGTTTTATTGCATTTAATTTTAATTTTTTTGAAACTTATTACTCCGTACATTTAATTAGTTGCATATAAAATAAAATTTTACATTGCTTATTGAAAAAAATTTCACTTTCAAAATATTTGAAATAAAAATCATGCTTTTTTGTCATTTCTTATTATCTATTTTTCTTAAAAAAAACCCGGGGCGCTGCCTTGAACCCCTGACCCGTGGACCCACCACTGCAATGTATATTGATATTTTACACTATTTTTTGGTATAATATATTCACGTTCTTAGATTGCAATTTTTATTTCAAAGATAAAAACACACGAGACATCTATTTTTATATTTTTCCTTGTATGTTTGGTCTTTTTTTCTTACATGCATTCTAAAATATTTTTCTTTCTTTTTTTAATCTTTTTGAATTCAAAGGAAAAATATTGAATTAGGATAGAGAGATTAGTTATTGTTACCTTCTTCTCTTAATATTTAGGACCATGCTAGGGTGCCACCACATGGGTGCACTCATGTGGTGGCACCCTAGCATTTTTCTAATATTTATTTAGTTTTGCGTTTTTTAAAACGTATTTTCAATTTTGATCTATAATCGAATAGAAATTACTCCCTCCGTTTCTTAAAACCCTTCCTCTTTCATTTTTTGTTTTTCTTAAAATACTTCCCCTTTCTATTAAAAAACCACTTTTACCCCTACTTTTTCATACCTTACATATCACATCATACTTTTTCACTAACAACTAAACTATCACATCTTACTTTTACCCATCACATCAAGGACAAAATTGGAAAGTCAACTACAATTTAATACTTTCTTATTTTCCCCCAAAGTCAAAAGAGGAACTCTTTTGAGAAACGGAGGTAGTATATGCTAACTTAATTAGATAATAAAAATATTTTATAAAAAAATTGATAATTTTTTTTAAAATTAATATATACTATCAATTTTATTCCATTAGTAATTAAAATTTGTCAATTTTAACTATAAAAAAAATTAAAATTTACGGAGTACTAAATACTCCGGGATAATATTCATAAAAGAAACGGTAAATATTTTTTTCTCTTGGAAGTTTAATAGTAGTCCGGTGATTCATTTACGGAGTACTTACTCCGTATTAAAAATAAAAAAATTGTTGACAATATCCCATTGATTGAGTAAATGGTTTAATTTTCCTCGTCAATCAATAATTATAAAGATTAGTTCGGTTGATGAAATGACATCCAGTCAAAACAATTTGTTACAGTTATTAATTAGGATAATAATACTCTTCCCCTCACTATTAATAGTTAACACTATGTAAAAACTTGAAAAAGAAAGAAAAAAGTGAGATAGAAAAATGAAAGCTGAAATAAAAAATAAGAAGACAATAAATTATGTAGAAGGAAAGCAAAATTTCCCATATTTTAATGAGGAAAATGAGAAAAATTATTTTATCTTTGAACCAAACATAGTATAAATTAAATCCACACATTTCGTAATTATCCTTTCAAAAAAAGACAATTCTTCTGCTTTTTATAAAAAATATTATATTAATTAATAAATTACTTCTATTTTCTTTTTTCAACCGTCTCTAAATT